CCCTCCCCTCCCGTCCCGTCCTTCATTCCTTCATTCTTCCTTCCATAGGCTCTAGGCAAAACCTGGGGCTTGAACTCATGACCCCCAAGATCAAGAGTCTCACGCTCTACCGACTGAAGCGGCCAGTGTTCATCTATCCTTTAAATTGTTAATCGGATGTAGAGGCTTGATCATGTTCAGGTTTGATTCTGTTGGCAAGACCGCTTCATAGTTAGCACTGTGTGCTTCCACTGGGAGGCGTAGTGTATGATTTTCTTTCTGTCACGTTTGCCCCATCGATGCCCGATGCTTATATCTCTGTGTTCATTTGTGTCTTAGTCTTTTCAAGCTGCTGTAACAGAATACACACACTGGGTAGCTCATAAACAACATAAGTTTATTTCTCACAGGTCTGGAGGCTAAGTCCAAGATCAAGGTGCTAGCTTTGGTGAGGGCCGTCTTCCTGGTTCCTAGCGGGTGTCTACTCACTGTGCCCTTAATGGTGGAAGAGGTGAGGGATGTCTGTGGGGTCTCTCTCACAAGAACACTAATCCCATTCATGAAGGCTCAGCCCTCACGACATAAGTACCTCCCTGCTAATACCATTACCTTTGGGGATTAGGATTTCAACATACGAATTTTGGGGGAGAACAAACGTTCGGACCATAGCAATTTGGCATTTGATCTTTACATTGTCTGGTGTCAAAGTGTAGGACTGTCTTGATTAAGTTTTATGTTTTATTGTATAGTAGATCTGGTTATATTTCTCAAATTTGGCACACAAGGCAAAGCGTATGAAGTGCCAACAAGTATTGTTCCTTAGACGTTTATTTGCTCAGGAAACATTCATGGATCACATGTATTAGGCGTAATCCCTACCCCCAGGCTGACCAGGCATGGAAGTTTCAGACCAGCAAAGAAAACAGATACGGTCCTCCATCTTCTGCATTGTAGTATAGACCTCTCTATTGATGGAAATTTTTCTCAAGTATTTTAATACTTCTTGACTTCATAAACCTAAGTTACGGGATAAAATTAGCTTTTCCTGAATAATGGGTGGTTTCCATTCATTTATTCACTAAACGTTTATTTTCTGACTCCTATTTGAACAGATGGAATATTTATTTTAAAAAAAAATTTTTTTTATTGTTTATTTGACAGAGAGAGAGACAGGGTATGAGCGGGGTGGGGGGGGCAGAGAGCGAGGGAGACACAGAATCTAAAGCAGGCTCCAGGCTCCGAGCCGTCAGCCCAGAGCCCGTCGCTGGGCTCGAACTCGCAGACTGTGAGATCATGACCTGAGCCGAAGTTGGCCGCTCAACCGACTGAGACACCCAGGCGCCCCTGAAGTTTCTTTAGGTTGGGAGTGACCAAATTTACATTTTAGGTAGGTTTCTGTGGGCACGTGATCAGGGGGGCAGGACCGGAAGCGATAGGAGCCAGTGATGACTCTGGGTACAAGATTAGGGCTGAGAGCAGGGCGCTGTGGGGAGGAGGGGGAAGAGGGAACAGACCACTAGCTGTTGAGAAGGCGAATGCTGGACAAATGTGGAGGTGAAGGAGGAGGTGACACCTAGGTTGCTCGCAGAGGTTATGAAGGTGGACACTGGTGCCACCACCTGACAGGCCATAGGAGGAAGATGAGATAATCCTGTTAACAGGACTTCGTAGCCGGGCTGGGAACACACGTCCTCTGCCTCCCACTCGCACTCGTGGTAGAAGGATTAAGTTTGGGGATCTGATGATCCAACCGGCATATTTTGCAAGTGAAGGGCACTTCCTGCGTAATTACCCATTTGCGTAGCTGAATTACTCTTTTCCCTCCTGTTAGACCAACAGAGTGAAGCGCCAGTTTGGCTTGAGCACATGCCGTCCTGTGGTTCGTGGGCCTGGCCAAAAGGCAGCGGGTTCCCGTTTCGTTTGGGCTTGGGTGATGCGAACATACGGACTGATCCGCGTCCCGCCCTCATTTCTCGTACGTTCTCCTGCCTCCTTTCATGCACCGAAGCGGAACAGCCTATAACAGTCTGAAGGTTCTTTTCACACCGGTACCTGGCATTTCGAATTAGCCTCCTAACTTCAGTGTATGCTTTAAATGGCTTCTGTTTGTTTGTCTGTTTTTAATGTTTATTTTCGAGGGGAGCCAGAGAGTGCGTGGGGGAGGGGCAGAGAGACCGAGAGGGAATCAAGAGAATCTGAAACAGGTTCCAGGCGCTGAGCTGTCAGCACAGAGCCCGACGCGGGCTCGAACTCGCTAACTGCACGATCGTGACCTGAGCCGAAGTCACACGCTTAACCGTCGAG